TGGAATATCATCGTATGAGTCTGCATTTGCATCTGAACTAATGCTGTACTTCCGGTTTCAATGACAGGTACATATTTCAGGTTTGCTCATCTTTCACATCTGAGGTCAAAGCCCAGCTATCGGGAGACTTCTGCATTTAACAGTGCCATTTTCAGTTTTGTTTAGACTCTCATTTGGTTCTGGTCCTGAAATTAGCACGCTTCAGATCTGTTGCAAGCAAAGTCAGTTTAACCCGGCAGATCTTTGCAGAGAGGCTATACCGGCCCCGCGGTGTGGGTGCGGTACTGACTCCCGACCTCAAGCCCATGGAACATCCCGGCGGAGACTGAAATAGATTGAAACAGTTGTCAGGCAAGACGGGACGGAGCATTCTGAATGCTCTCGAGATGGGTGGGAACAACTGCCTTCCTCCCGGGAGGCTCAGGGAAGGGTTCTCGTCATGAAAATATAACAGCGAAAGAGAATGTAAGGGGTCCCGTGGTGAGATTCGCATCTGGCTCTTACAGAAATTTATAGCGAGACGGATTCACGAGGCACTGCTCCAAGCTCATTGATCAAATCAGAATTTCTAGAGTGGAGAGACTCGGAAATCTGAATCTTTCGAACGTTCTCTCCGTGACGTAGTTGGTCAGCTAGGCTTTGGGAACTACACATCCTACAAATTCCCTCCCCAAAGCTAGATTTCCCCGGTGTTCCTTCAGGAGTTTGCCTCGCCCCTCCTGGAACGCTGCAAGCCGACGACCTCACACGGCAGCCAGCCCTTCATGGAAAGTGAGCGCGTAGGGCTTTGAGTGATGGAGATGGAGGGGAAGGATCTTTGAGGCAAAGTGACTATTGGAAATAATCAGGAAATAGAGGGAGTCAGGTTTGGAAAGTTGGGGTTCCATCATGGAGTGACTTGAATGTCGCACTGAAGAATTTCAACCTTCTCCTGTCTGAGAGGGAGGCCCTTGATAGGATCTTGGCCCTCGCTGGGTGTAAAGAGCCTGCCGAAGCAGGATGGACTGGATATCAGAGAGAATGGAAGTTGGGAGAAGCGCTGGGGATTTAATCCCGGAGTTCAAGTGAGGAAAAACAAGCACTCGGATCGGAACCAGTAGCAACGGCAGAGTGAAGTCCGAGCGGCACTGTGGGGTCGCCCTGCAGAGCCTGACTGATGGGGGGCAAGGGAAAGTCAAAACCGATGCCGGAGTCTTGAGGTCCTGGAGTGCCGAAGATGTGACTTGGAACGAGACATCAGGCTCAAGGGCAGGTTGCGAAGGCAGATGGCAAGTCAGGTTTTTGACCTTTGAAACGCATTGGTTTCCGTCACCTCCCACCTTCCTCTGTCACCTGTACCAAGGTGGAGCTCAGTGAGGGCTCAGAGGTGGGTGGAGAGCAGGGCCTCGAAATGTTTGGTGGGTGCACAGCCCCGTCCCTGCCTTCTCCTCTCGTGGTCCTCTCTGCTTTGGTTTAGGACTTTATTATTTCTCACGTAAATAATGGCAAGCCTGAGGCCCACCTCAGCCCATTCTGCTGTGCCCTGAGTTTATGACTTAGAAAAAGGGGCCCTTATTTGGGTGGCTGCAGCCTTTTGCTCAGGGCTTGGGACGCAGAGTACACCTTTGTGGGATGATCCAGGCTCGCCTTCCTGTAGGATGAGCCCTCCCTCCGTCCCAGTCCAGGATGGAGGGCTGGGGGAGCCGAGTGCAGAGGTGGGGTTTACACCCTACTCATCTCCTGGCTAGCACCAGGTAACCTGGAAAATTCTCCCAGCTGGTTTCTTTGACCCCACCCTGCCATTTCTATTTCACTCAGAGTGACTTTCCTCCTAAAATGTAATCATATCACATTCTGCTTCAAACCTCTCGATATTCTCCCAGTGTCTTCAAGATGAAATTCAAAGTCCTTCACTTGTGACTAAAGGCCATCTGTGGTAGCTTCTCAGCCTCTTCCCGAGCCACACTCCTCAACGCCCTCCTCTCCAGTCGCTGTTCCCCAAACGACAAATGAACAGCGAGCTTCGCTCAGGCTGTGTTTTCCTCACCCCTGCCTTGCAGTGAGTGCCTCCCCGCCACCCCCGACACCCCCCAGATGGCCAGACGGCTTCTGGTTTCTCCGAGACTTATTTGACTCATCTCAAGGAAGCTGTCCCAGTCCAAACTCCAGCCTGAACTAGAATCCACCTCCGTGTGCTCTTCCTTCCCTCCCACCACCTGGACCCAACACTTTCCCAGCTGTGACCCTCCCACTTTCCCGTCTGTGACCGCCTCGAGGACTGAGAATGTCCTGCCCATGTCCCTCCCCCTGGCACCTGGATTACACTTGTTGAATAAACAAGTTGACTTAGAAACAAATGAAAAGTACAGATTTTTCCACCCTCCACCAAATCAACCGACCAAACAAAAACCAAAATAACCCCCAAAACCCCCAAAACCAAAACATCAAAAAAAGTTTTGTTTTGTTTTTTTTCTGCTTTCTAAACATGAGGCATCTTATCAGTTGTCAAAGCCTCTTTATTTTCTATACTTTTCTGTAGTCTTGAAAGGGCAGTTCATTGAGAAGTTAAAGATCTTGGGGAAGGTAAAAGCTTGGAATAAAGTCTGAGGCTTCCATGCCAAGGCTTGTTTGCTCAGGTGTGTCTGTGTATTTGATCTTTGTGAAGTGCTTAAAAGAAGTGCCCGTAGATCCGGGTCACATACTTAACCTCTTTAAAAACATGCCAGCTTTGAAGATGGAGGACTCTGCCCATCTGTGCGAGACCGAAATGCCATCAGTGATATCTCTGATGGACGTTTCCTCTCACGTGTTCCAGATGCGAGGCTAGCTGACCACGAACTCTGAAACACTTCCAAAGGTTTTGCCGGGAACTTCCGAGACAATTTATATGTATTTTTCTGTGTGTATCTCCACTCCCGTCCCCACCAGGAAAATGTGAAGAAGCTGTGAGGATGTGTTCGATAAAAAAAAAAAAGAGACAATTAAACATAAAACATCACTTAAATGTCAACGAAGAACTTACAAGGAGGCCAGACATTAGTGGAAGACCGAGACCAGGGAGATGAGAGCTATGCCCGAGATGTGTCGACCCCAATGTTGGCGGAGTTGATCCCGTGCTCTCCTGGGACAACGCACCAATGGAAATCCATTCCGTTGCACAGTTCTCGTCGTCTGGAAGGAAAAACAGTGGTTGTCAATTTTCCCTCATAGAAGCCGTGACGTTAACGGCGAGGAGATGCTATGCTCTCTGTAAATTTTTTCCTCCATCCTGTTGGCCGGCATTTAAAAATATTTTCTATGATCTTCAGCATTAGTAGTTTTCACTACTTCTTTGTCAGCTGGTCTCTTCAGTTTCCAATAACCTTTTTTTTTTTTATCTCTCTCTGACTCTTTTAGTTAGTTTTTGAAAATAAACGAGTAAATTGCTAACAATTTGAACGTCTATTTATGGCTATTGACTATTACATAAGAATTGGGCTGTATATTAATTATCTCCCCCACACCCTGTTATATTACACATACTTTGCTTATAGGAATGTTTGGATGTTAGATGAGTTTGGAGGGACCTCAATTTCTAGTTTCGGCTTCGCGTCTGTGATCCAGTGTCTCGGTTCCCTTATCTTTCAGAAAAAACACCCTGAATTTCTGAAGACCAATATATTCTCCAAATGCAAGACATAATGATGATTACGAGGGCACTGATTCATCTTTTAATTGATTAATACTGTAATAACAAGTGTGCTTCTGTTTTCCCACAAACTGTCACTACGCCTCATGTCCATTTTCTGTAAAACAGAGTTGCGTATAACATCTCATATCCCTTCTTTCTTTAAACAGATGTTGAGTGGCTGAGGGGGAGCTCAGAGAGATGCACTTGCCCACCTGGGAGACAGAGATCTGGCTTAAACAGCCCCTTCCCAGCATCCCTGGGCATCCAGGACAGCGCCGGGCTTTCTATGTACTCAGTAAACACTTGTCAATTCGAACTTGACACTATAAATAATTCAATCATTTATTTCAGTGGAGAAGGGCAGGTAGTGTCTGTCTGTTGGTAGAATACCCTTATTGTCCAAGTTCTGAGTCAACCCTTGACTTTAAAGAAAGAAACACTCCTCAGAGCGTATTTGAATCTTACTCGTTCATTCATGCGCAAATTCTGCTTGGAGAGAATGCAAAGTGCAGAGGAGGAGGAAAAGTCAGGACACCCTTCTGCTTCTCTTCTGCTTTGTTTAACACTCACCATCTAGGTGTCTACTAAATTTGCCTGAAAGGACTAAGTGAGAACAAAGATTGTAGAACTGTCTAGCACCGTGTCTGACACATAGCAGATGCTCACTGACACTGGCTTATTTATTATAAAGCAATGGACTCAACATAGAGCACAGAGGAGGAAAAGTTAGGACACCCTTCTGCTTCTCTTCTGCTTTGTTTAACACTCACCATCTAGGTGTCTACTAAATTTGCCTGAAAGGACTAAGTGAGAAAAAAGATTGTAGAACTGTCTAGCACCGTGTCTGACACATAGCAGATGCTCACTGACACTGGCTTATTTATTATAAAGCAATGGACTCAACATAGAGGCTCTCACTCCTTTATTTCTACAAGATCCACCATCCTATTGTCTTTTCTTTTGTCACTTGGAGAATGATATGCGTGTGCTTCCCCCGCCCCGAATCTGTAGAATGGGTTCAATGCCTCGCTACCAGCATTTTCCTTGAATCTCTTCTATGATTTAAGACACCTCAGGGCAGGGATCGATGAGTTCTCTCATCAACGGATGATGATCGTTATCTTTATAAGTGACCCACAATTTGGTTAGTGGCGCAATGAGAAATTAAGAACATAGCACACTTTTATGACTGTCATTTCACAGTCACTCAGAACAGAACTGGAATGCCACAAAAACAACTCCCTGTCAGCCCAGAGAAGAGAGAAAAAAAAAAAAGAAAGAAAGTGAAGGGGAAATTCAGATTAGTCACAAAGAAGTTCCCCCGCCTGCCTGCAAAAGCTACAGAGTTAAAACTGAGAGAGTCCGCTCTGCCTTCTCAATCGCCTCTCATCTCTGGTCCTGGGACTGCTGTGTGTTTTCTGATCGATAGGTTTTGTTTTGTCTTCACCTCCTTCTCTGTAGGGGAGAGGTCGGTCCTCCCTCAGTTTTCCTTTTGCCACAGTTTTCATCCTTCCTGCATCCAGATTGTGAAGATGGAAGGGGTCCAACCCCTGGACGAGAATGCGGGAAATGCACCAGGGCTGAGGTTCCAGATGAACAAGCTATTGCTGGCGGCCTCCGTAATTCAGGGGCTGGGGCTGGCCCTGTGTCTCACCTACATCTGCCTGCACTTTCATGCTTCTCAGGTAAGATGCTCCGCCGGGCACTTCGCTTCCTCCAGCTCGTGCGGCTGGCAGCTCCAACAGCTGCAAATGGTCCCTTACGAGTGATCCAATGCCAGATTTTTTTTTTTTTTCCCCTTTTCCTCTCGGCGACTGTAAAGTGTGGCGAAACACCCTCCTGTTTCTCTTTTCCTTCCTTCTTCTCAGCAGTGGCGGTGCGGGGCCACAGTGGAGGCAGGGCAGGGGCGCTGCTCCTCAGTCGTTCTCTGTCTCTTTGCAATGCGAGGACCCCGGTATTCCTTTAGGAGCCGCCACTTGGAGACTTGGAGCCACTGACAGACACTTGGTTTACTCATTCTGCTAGTAGGTGTTTGGTCGGGAATTAATATAAAAAGGAAACAGGAATGAGATCAGTTCTACTTCCCCACTGTATTCCTAAAACCGACACTTGCTCTTGCTTTTTAAAGAATGCTGAAGGTGTCAATATTAAGTTCTTTTAAATAGCCGACCTGTATTTTTGAAAGGCAGGGATGTGTGTGCTCACGCGCGTCCGCGCACATGGCCATCGACCCCAAGAACCTAATCAGATGTCGATTCTCACGGCCTTTCTCTACCAACCCCAACTTACACGCAACGCTGTCTTTTTTCTGCTTTGTCCCATACACTGTGCGATGGGTGATCATCTTTCCAGCATTTCCCCCGCTTCGAGAAGATATTCCTTTCATTTTTCCTTTCTCTTTATTCCGGTCTCCTTCGCATTCATTTTTCTTACTTACTCATTCATATCTGCAAACGCGAAGAGGTCTTTAAGGGTATTCTTGGCTGCAGGTGACTTCACCGAAAAGGAAATTATGGTGCCGTCTGCCCCGTGTTTCCGAGCTGGGGCTGTCTGATCATTCCCGCTCTCCTGGCCAGTTGCTTCGGGTTAGAAAAGCCTCTCCCTGCTAAAGATCAGACAATAAGAACTTTTATTTCGGGGGGATGGGCCAGAGACCGCAGCACCTTGAACAACACCAGGATGAGATGGCAGAATCCTAGCTAATGAAATGCCTGGGCTGGCTTTTGCCTACCGGAGCTCGGGGGTTTTGGCGCACAGAGGCCGGGGCTCACTGTGCTGCAGAGGGCTCACGTCCACAGACGCCAGAAGCATAGCTGGTGTCACGCTCAAGTCCGCAGAGCAGTGAGCGCAGCGACACGCGCATCCCCTCCTCAGAAGGCCACCCCATTCCTTCTCTGCGCGGGACCCTTTTGGTACAATTAGAGCAGGCGACTTGGGGGGCGGGTGCGGGGGAAGCGCAATGTGCCGGTGGCAGGGTGCCCAAGACACAGACCGGAACTAGGTTCTTTTGAGAAAAAAAAAAAAAAGAGCAACCAAAAACAGAACAGCTGAGTGCATTCGCCAGCGAGCCTTGAGAGTGCTTTTTCAGACAACCACCGTGTGACAGGTTCCCTGACGCGGTGTGACAATAAAAAGATAGGGCTGACGACCCAGATCAAGGCTGGACTAGGGCTCTGGGCCGGAGAGGACAAAAGGTGAAACAGTTGTTTAGTCTGCTGGCAGCGAGGCACCCCGGACTGTCAGGACCCGGGGGACGCTGAGAAGGAGAAAGGGTTCTTTCTGGCAAGTCACCCTGCTAGCAACTCAGTGACGGAGCCTGGAAGGAAAGCCGAGGGCTGGTTTCCAGGACACAGGATTCACGGTGAGCATTCTCTGGTCCTGGCATAGAAATGGAAGCGGAGACACGGGAGGCACATTAGACTGGCCCGCGACAGGGAGGGGCTCTCACGTACTCTGGATGCAGAATTTGGGGGGCACAGATATTGGAAATTCTTCATCTGACATTAAGAATTTTTTCTTGTTTCTAGCTGGACTGTTTTAGCAAACACGATTTTTAATATTGTTACAGGACCCGGGGCAGCGCAGTAGGTCTTTGCATTCCATCTCATAGACTTATAGAGAGAAAAAGCATAGATAGGTGGTGTGTGTGTGTATGTGTGTGTGTGTGTGTGTGAGAGATCGAGAGAGAGAGAGAAAGAGAGAGAGAGAGAGAGAGAGAGAGAGGAGAGAAGAGGGAGAGAGAGAGAGAGAGAGAAAGAGGCAGAGAGAGGCACTGTTGAAAAAGGGACATAGACTGGTAGCCTTTCTAAACTCATAAACTTGGAATTTTGGATGACGGGGGGTGGATGATG